GGGGAGTGGTCAGTCTGTAACATGACACCAGGGGAGTGGTCAGTCTGTCTAGGATTACAAACACAGGTCCTATCAATAGATAAATCAATAAATAGACACAAAATCAATAAATACTTAGACATCAGGGTTTCCATGGCAAGATGAGATAATGGCACATTACAGTTGCATTCTGGGTAAATACAGAGCTGAGTTTTAGCTGGTTACAGTGCTAACAATCATGCTGTTTTACATTTTAGAGGGCAAACAGTTTGCACCAGTATAACATCCCAGGTGTTGGCTGACCTGATGCTAACTGTTTGCTGAACATTTCGCAAAGCTTATCTCCCATCACAAAATCGAAAGCAAACACACCTGAGTCGACCAGCCAAACAGATGTCCGCTTTACCTGTGGGGGAGTGAGGTGTGAGAGCAGGGCTTCTTTAAGTAGAAGCATCAGACGGCTGATTTATGGTGAAAGTTCTTCTGAGGTCAACCAGCTGCGGTTGTCTGTTGCCGTGGGAACATGTTGATGGTATCACAGAAGTGCTCCTGTCTCTGTCTCACCTGTCTGTGTCTCACCTGTCCTTCTCGCTCTTGCCCATGTTGTTTAAATGTTTGTGTGAAAATGTTGCCACAGAAACTTTCAACTAAAAATAACCATATCATTAAGCTAATGCTAACTGTTCAGAAGCTAACTCGGCTACTGGCCCCGCCCCCAGGCAGACAGACAGGTGCGCTCTGTGTGTGTGTGTGTGTGTGTGTGTGTGTGTGTGTGTGTGTGTACAAGTGTACATGCATGAGTGTGTGTGTGAGTGTAAATCCTCATTTCCATTACGTCCACTGAGTGTCGCTGCAGTGTCTTTGTTGGCTCTGTAGTTGGGACTTCACTTCCCATAAAGCAGCAGAGGCCTCTAGATTCAGTCCTGAAAGTGAGACAGAAGCAGCTGTTAGACACAAAACGATAACAGCAGACTGTCTCTGTCTTTTTAAGATGACATGAACGTTAGGAAAACCGATGAAATGAAATGAAGAGCCAATCTTTTCAAAACTGAAACAAAAGTGAAAGTGTGGGTGCGTCGCCCTCTGGTGGTGAAAGTGTCTTGCACCGGAGCTCTAGTCCATCTTTCTAATGTTTCCACTGTATGTATTGAATGTTTTGTCTTAGATTTAAACATTTAATTGATCTCCAGAGTGATTTGCATATCGACTGGCACGTAAACATCTCATTCAGGTAAACATCTGCTGTGATGTCAGACCAGTCACAGAGCTTCACAGTGCGACCATCAGAGGGAGCAGTTCCACATTTTACAGTGAGTGCAGTTTGCTCTCAGAGTGGCTAGGCTAAGCTAACCAGGAGATGAGCATGCTCATGCTAATGTTAGCGAAGCGTAGCATGTTAATGTTCCCACTGTCCTCTCAACAGGATAACGTGGACACCTGGATTCCTTTAGTCATGCATTTTTTTTCTGGAGCACTAACCACAAGCAGAACCTGTGTTCATACAGGTGAGCCCCAGGGGGCGGGGCCACACTCGCTTATTTGGACCATAAAACGATATCACACTTGAAAAGACAGTCATTAATGTTAGCACAGCATGTCAGCATAGCACTGCTCTTTAGCAAGTGATGTCCTTTTGATGACCACAGGATCAATCAAAGTGACCGATTTATCATTGATCAGGTGAGTGATCAGAAACACTTTGTTTTTACTCTGATCACTTCCTAAATGTTTATCCAGCTTTTAGTCCAATTCACTGATTAAATGTTCTTGCAGTTTTCTACCAACCAATCACAAGAAGCCCTTCTTGTCCTCTGTGGCTCCTCCCAAATGTTTCATCCAATCAGGACAGTTCCATCTCTGCCTGTGTTCTCCTTTCCACCAATCAGAACCTCTGAGTGTCTTTCAGTGTTTGTTCCTCAAATAAAACACTTGTGTAATATGCACATGCAGAATGTTAGGAACGCTGCCATGCTCAAATCAGCCAATCAGCAGCCAGCCTGAGGCTCCACCTGTAAAGTCATCCTTGCTACCTGTGATGTCATTAATCAATCACGTGATCGGGAGAGACCTCGGTTTCTTTATGGACGACGACTCTGGTGACAGACAGCTCAGGATGCTGCCGTCGCGCCTCGCTAAGCGCCTCCGCCAGGGCCTTCAAGAGAGACAAGGTCAGAGCCCAGGCCAGGTCTGGACCAGGTCCACAACAATGCACAGGTACAGGTGTTTACAGAGGGTGTACCACGGCACCAGATTCATGTGTCAGCAGGTATTCCTAGCCTAACGCTCCTTTAACCTGCTAGATCTCCATGGTAACTGATCCTGTGGAGCTACATCTCCATGGTAACTGATGCTGTGGAGCTACATCTCCATGGTAACTGATGCTGTGGAGCTA